ACGGATGCAGCCAGGCGCCAGCCAGGCCGTGCTGCGACGGCCTGCTGCAGTAATGGTCCGGGCTTATGGCACGAAACCGCACGTTGCATGCGAGAGTACGCCGGCGGGTGGCCGATGCATCCGAACCACCCATTCGAACCAAAACGCATCCGTGTTGTGTGATGCCCCCGTTTGGCCTGGAATATTGAAAACAAAACCATCCATCTTGCCAAACCCAGCCATTGTGCATGCGGGATCACCATGCCCAAAATCTCCCAAATACTCTGTACCCGCCTTTCTGCCTGCACACCTTTCGCAGACAGCATCTGACAGTGCACACGCTGTCCCTGTGCACTGGCAGGAAGCCATGCCTCCGATTCGTGGATCTCCGGGTTCCTTATCACAACTTTTAATGTTGCAAAGGAAGAATCACGTGCCCATCGCTTAAAAGTCCCCTACTGGCGGCGCCGGCGCAACAAGCGCCTGACCAACTGTCGTCCAGGACGTCATGCAACTCTGGCAGGGGGTCCCTTTGGCGCACCAACTCCAAGAGCGAAGCTGCCTGGGCGCGCTTTTGGGCTACGGCCACACACGCGCCAGCCAAGCTACGGTCGCAGAGGCGGTGGCAGCCAGACGGCGCGTGAGGAAGCGAAACCACTGCTGTCTCAACGCGGACGTCATAGGGAGGCATCAACCGCACCAAAGATGCCACATGCAGGCGGCATTTCAGGAGGAGAGGCCGAAACGAGAGCTTACAAAAACAAAAATTATAGCAGGGTTCAAAGGTGCAGGAGGAGGACGCCGACAACTAAAACGCACGCCATGTCTATGCCTTTGCAAAGCGTGCTCGGCCGGCGAATCTACAAGCCCCCCCCGGTTGGGATCAGTGCGGTATCGCTCTTCATCGAAAGAGGCCACAACACAGCGGCGAACAAAAAAAATGCCCAAAACAAGCTGGACGTATGCACCAATGCATGCCGGACAGGGGAGTTGCGCGTTCGGCTCGTCGGGCAAGCAACCTGAACCGAGCATTCCTGGCTTTCAGCTTCAATGTAAACAAGCGACTCGGGCACCAGCCAGAGCGAGATGTGCGGCACTCGATGGACAACGTAGCACCAACAGAGTTGCCGAACTCTTACAGCGGTGATTTGGAAAACTGAGAGGTGTCGACGGCAAATTGCATGCCGTCTCACGGGGGCAGGCGACCGACCACGCTGACTTCAATCGCTAGGTCGGCAACAACAAAATTCCAAAACCGTTTTAGCCTCGTTCACGCCTAGCCTGGGAGCCTAGTCGCTGGAGGGGGGTGGGCGGCCAAGATGTAAATGCCGTCGGGGTGTGCTCAACTACCCGTACTAAAGCTCCGCTGCTCGGCTTGCAGGGCACCCGGGCCTCGGCCTGCTGCATATGCAAAGCGCTTCCAAAAAAAAAGCCATTCGTCCTCACAAGAAAGATGGCAAAGGTCAATGTTTCCTGCCTCCTGTGACGTCCAGGTCTTTAACAGGCAGTAAAACCAAGGGCACTTCCTTTCACGGCTACTGCTGAGGACTTTCCCGCCTAGATACTTTCTGGAGGTCCGTCCATTTTCTGGCCTGCTGTCCGTTTTAAGATTCACAGCTTCCAGCTCAACTTCGGATTGTAAGCTAAACACAGGCTTACGAGAAGGTACGGGCCAGGCCAGTGTCCTAGAGCTTCTGGCACGCAGAAGCCCTTGCATCCCAGAACCGACCGGCTTGCAACCCAAATACACGTTTTCTGCACACATAAAGCGGCTTTGCGGGTGAAACGCAGATGCACGAATTGTGTCGGAGCCAAACTTTGCATTGGCAGACGAAGCTGCGTCGGGCATTTGAAACAGCAAACATTGCTTAGCATCGGGTCCCTGAATCAACTTTGAACCATCGCTCACCCGACCATGCAAACACTGCTTTGCCGTAAATTTGGTTGCGGCATGCAGCTCACCCTGAAGATTGCACAAGAGGGGGTGCAGTGAGGTTGATTCAGGCTAAAGCCGGGCAAAGTGACTTCACCATCCTTGAATTACGGTAAAACAAGTGAAATCTCACATATCACACTCGGCAAAGCCAACAACACACAAGCAACCCGACAAGCTTGCTTGCAATGTCCCATAGCTGTAGCTTCGCAAACACATATTACATAGACACCTGCAGATATGTACATACATGGCATACATACATACATACATACATACATACATACATACATACATACATACATAGGTATGTGCATCCATGCACACACGCATGCATGACTATGTACAAGTACAATGATTTCTATATGTATGTATGTATGTATGTATGTATGTATATATATATGTATATGTGTATATGCCTTGCCTGTACACATCTATGCCGTAAACATCCGTATCTGTATAAATGCTTGTACATGTGCAAACAAATTCCTTCTTAAGCTTCAACACATCATGCATCGTTGCATGGTGCAGATGCCACATGCAAACGTGCATATACCAATGCTTTCTTGTTGCTGTTCATGTAAGAGTGCAAAAACAAGACACAGCAATTACGAGACATTCCTCGTGTTCTTTGTAGTCGCGTTTGCATAACGACATGTTTGAAATGCACCTCCATGCACTGGTAGTTGTCTAAATTAGGGTCCCTTTGGGGGTCCTTTTTATACGGGTACCGTGCTATGTTGGCGACCTAAAAAAAGGACCCTAATTTCGAGAGCTACCCATGTGCGAGTGCGCATATGTCTACCCAGCAGCAACAACAACAACAACAATCAATTGAACGCTGCGCGAGCGTGCTCTGCGCATGGCGGGCATACTGCCTTACCAAACACTCGGTGAAACTGTGGTGGCAGATTCTGCACTCCAACATTTGATCTCTGAACCTCGGAAGACCTTGGAAGGGCCCAGACGCCTCAGAAAGCCTCACTGAAACTGAAGTATGGACAACCTCCGACACCCTTTGTGTGAGCCAACGCGTCGGATGCTCGCGAACCAACGCCTGATGGGTCGTACTCACTGCCTGCTGGAGCAGCTGAGCCGTGTCCCCGAATGCCAGTCTAGTGGCGTCCCACAGTTGGTCATTCTCAGACGGAGGCGATGGGCCGTAAGGAAAAGTTTGCGTACCTGACAACAACAACGCCATGCAAGATGAACAGACACACAAACGAGACAGGCAGGCAGACAGACAGACAGACCAGACATACAACCAGCCAGCCAGGCAGACAGGCAGACAGACAGACAGACCGACATAGTGACACATGGCTTGTGCATGTCTGCATTTCTATCGAAATACCCATGTACTACCTCTTGCACAGATTGCAGATCTATATATGCACACCTAAACTCTGCAACTTTACCTCTCTGGGGATCTTACGCATGCATTATGCTCAAAGCTGATACATACACCTACAAGTACATAGATACAAGCAGCTTTATACAAATGCCACACCGATTCTTTTCTCAATACATGTGTATATATATATACATACATACATACCTACATATATGTCTATGTGTATATATATATACATATGTATATACATATGTATATACATACACATATACTGGGGGTGGGTGAGTGAGTGCGTGCGTGCGTGCGACCGAGCGAGGGAGTGAGTGAGTGAGTGAGTGAGTGAGTGAGTGAGTGAGTGAGAAGCGGCACCCGTTACAGACGGGGCCATGCCTAAGGCGCTATCCCTCCTGGCATCTCCGGGGCTTCGTAACCGTCATTGCCCCTCCGCTTGGAGTTCAAACCAGCAGGGCGGGTGATAGAGAGAGTGAGAGTGTGTCAGAGGACGCCACACGCCGTGCGTGATGTCGTGCGTCATGGGACGTGTGGGTCGGTCTGCTTCTGGCGCCCAGCGATCAATTGCGGCCAGATCAAGTGATAGCACCCCTGAGCCTACTGCCAGTGTACAGGCAGCCCCACACACAGCTCGTGGACATGCACATATACTTGTATTTTGGTATATATGCATGTGCATGTATCTAATTTACACACACAGTTACGCTTGCTGTACCTCTATATTTCAACATGTAAATATACATATAGATATTGCTTCTGGAGTTATTGCAACATACACACTATCATTAAATGTGCGAGTGACGTGCGCTTTGGTGCAAGTATGCATGACTAGGTGCATGTCTCAACATTTGCGATGATCTCTGCCAGCCAAGAGTCCATCCGGTCAAAGGAAACACGGAAGAATTGCAAACAGCCTTTGAAACAACCTCTTGCAACACAACGCCAGCTCTGTGCAATGGCAATCCTGGTGGGGCCGGCGAGGCGTTACATGCTGCTGTCATAAGACCTCTCCTACAGTAGCAGTAGTAGCAGTACTACCACTACTACAACTACTACTACTACTACTACTACTATTGGAATGGCAACCTGACCTGGCCTGGTCTTGCAGAAGATTCCAAAGGTCACGAAAACAGCAAAACCGAAACTGGAGGGGAATGGAAGGTCGGCCAGGTCAGGGCATCTACCCTTGCTTATGTTTCGACCTTCCTACGTCTCTACATTCATGTTGCCTTGTTTGTGCGATACGCATCTCTGCCTCAGTAGCTGATTATCATCTGGCAGAGCCCTAAACGAGGTTTTGCTGTAGTTCTATCGTGATAACTATCGAGAAATGAATAGAGGACATGCAGTAACATTGAATGTGTGCTGATACCGACCAAACCCAGAGTAGCGGCATCACAGGGGAAGCCAACCTAAAACTCGAGCTTTAGATGGTCTTGCTCCCACGTTGACATGCATGACTGACCTCGCACAGCCGTGACAAGCTTCCCCTTGCAAACAGTTTCCAATGCAAGCCAGTTCAGCGAGACTGGGAAAATCATCCTCACTTCGCCGCATCGACACGGACAACATCCATGCTTTGTCACTGCAGTTTGGTAAGACAAGACCTTCTTCCGCGAACTCCAGAAGATTGCGCGCAAGCATTTCAAACGGTGCCCATCTGGGATTGCTTAGATGTACAAGGCCGCCAGTTGAAACATGCAAAGCCTGATCGGGCTTCGCAAATCAGCGGCTGGCTTTGCAGAAGGTGTTTCCAACATCACCGGAAGCGTGGTTGCAGTTGATGATCTGAGCAAGCAGGAACATGTGCTTAGCCCCCAATCGCCCCTAAAACCCAAACCGTGGCCTAGACTTAGACCCGAAACCTTGAGCCTGACCCTAAACCCTAAGCCGCTTGCTCAACAAGAAGTGGAACACCAGAAAAAAATAATGTACTCTACGCTATTATACTATATTATACCAATACTAAACAAAGAGTCATCTGAAAGTGGCCTCTTCTGTGAAAACAAGGCGCATTGGTGAAATCATCCACCGTGAACGTCGCGCCGGTGACGACGTTGGTGTTTCCAGACAGCGTGACCGTTCCAGTCCCGGTCTGGAATTGGCCCGTACCTCCATAAGGATCGGGAGAGCTTGAGCTTTCAATCCTTGTACACTTCAGAACCGCGGCTTAAAGCTCTTGGGTTTCAGCTCATCCGCGACACACGCACTGATGAGCCGGCCTGTGTTGGCCATAATGAGGTCCATGTTCGCTGCAATAGCAACATCGCCGTTGAAAGTGATCTGACCCGTGGCAGTCGAGAACCTTGCGAGCGGAGCTCCACAGGCAGACCGATTACCGATCCTACTTCAAGAAGCTACCGGTATCAGCATGCTTCCACATGCTCCAACTCACAAGGCTCGCCATCACGCGCTCAAGACCAACCAGAAACCCAATCCGATTGCTACTGTAAGGTGGTTTCATTGACTGTCCAGGTGACGTCTTTGCAGTTCCATCCTGGTCGTTGTTGAAGCTGACATCACCATAGACCTCGAAAGAGTAACATGCCATCCAAGACAAACACATGCAACTCATAGAATCCTCTCCTAGCATTCATGGCCAGGCTCGTTTGGATTTCATACCACAACTTACAGACATCATGGCTTCAAGGCATCTCACTTCCCCCTCGCCTATTGCGGAGGCAATCCATACCACTGCCATACTTGAAATGGATACTGCTACTACTCGACCAGTACTGTCACTACTGTCACCCCTAGCATCATCCAGTGCTCTTACTTTGCTTACTCGTGTTACTTATGCATGCATTTGTCTTTTTTGAGCGAGCAAGTCTGTTTCTAATATCGAGTCTAGGTCAGGTCGAATCTTGTGATCTGCGCCCGGTATCTCGACTGCTCATACCGAGATCTTCCTGGTCATTGCGGATTAGTTGAGCAAACCTGGCTTACGTATGCAACACCCATCATATCACCCACAGAACAACATACTTGCTGATCTCATCGTGGTGACCTATCTCGTCAACCCAGCAATTCCAACAATGATGCAAAACCATGGCCTCTTGCGCGAACTGTAAACAAGTAGCACCAACCAATACTTTTGGTTGCTCAGACTGTGGCAGACATTTCAGTCAGCAGCCTCTTTGATCGCTAGCCAATATTGGCACATCCGAGCTAGCAGCTAGCGTTTGTGTTTGTGGCTTCAGGGTAAGTGATTCTACATGCACCCCGCTCTTCCTGAACATCGATACCTGACAGCCCACACATCGACTGATGACCAGTCTATCATCAAGTCTCTCTACTCAGGGTCAAAGGCTCGGGATGGTGCTTGCGAGCATGGTCCAGAGAGGGAATTTGCCTCGTCCGAATTGCTACTGAAGTATGTGGGCCAAGCATCCGTGAGAGAACTTGAAGCACCGTTGGCAGCATCTGGCAGGGGGTAGCATGTCATTCAGGGCTCCTACGCACCTCCTGATACCACCAGGGTGCGAAGTACAAGGACAACATTGCCACTTCGAGGCCCCAAGCTCAAGTTTCCTCCCGATGCTAATTCCAAGATGCTCGTCACACCGGGGCCCAAAATTCCAGACGACTGACCCAGAAGGCTTTCACAGACTCAGCGATGTGAGACTAGAAGTGAGCTAGCCACATCTAAGACCAATCGTTTCTCCAGTCCACGCAAAATAAAACCAGATCTAATCCAGCAGAAACAGAACTTCCAGAAGTGGCCAGCGATATCTAGACGACTTGAGAATGCTGACGATTCTGAGACTGTGACTGGAGCCGACGGTGGTAGCTCCAAACCTTGTGCAGCACATGCAAAATCAAGCATGTTGCAACTCCACGCCCTGCATTGACATGCACCTTCGGCACTGAGGAGCGCACAGCTGAACAACTCCGCCGTTTCCATAGCTTCCCACAGAGAAGGGCTGGTTGTCTGCCTGGCCGAGGCACGGATGAGACGTGCGGTCGGGGCTGCGGGCAAGCAGAGCCGGCACGACCACAACGGTCGGTCCATTCAGGTTCACTGCGCCGGTGCCCGTGTTGAAGGTGCTTGAGCCTCCCCTCGGTCGCCAGAGCTCTTACGCATTGAAGCTCCAGGGACAGAAAACGGGCTACGATTCTTCAATACCAAAAACGCGACCTGCCGGGATCTGCTTTGTTCGGCAAAAGCACACTTGGACGTTGCCGTTCAGTGAGACCGCCCCAGTTCCAGTTTGGAAGGTGCCGGCGCCTGTTGCCTGAGACTGCTCAAGTCATGCGGAACAGCATATCTACCATGGTAGCTGAGCGGTGCGACAAAAAGCCAGAGTAGCACTAACAGCTATGGCAGCACAGTTAGAAAATGAAAATGCAAAAGAATAAGTAGCGTATAGTAAACAAGCTAGCCTTGAGCAACTTATACGAATACTAGCAGTAGCAGCACCACATACAACATTAATAGCAGCAGTCATCATCGCGGTTCTGGCGCTGATAGCGAAAACAGGTAGTGGTAGTGGTAGTGGCTGGGACAAGAATAGTGATGGTTGTGGCGGCGGTGAAAGAGGTGATAGCTGTCGCAATTGCAGTCGCAACCGCAGTCGTGCAGTAGTAGTAGTAGTAGTAGTAGCAGCAGCAGCAGCAGTAGCAGCAGCAGCAGCAGCGGCAGCAGCATCAGCGGTAGTAGCCGTAGTAACACTAGTAGTAGTTGTAGTAGTAGTAGTAGTAGTGGTATTCGTTCAACACGCAGCGGAATTCTGTCCACCTAGCGAGTGGCACGGCGGATTGCTGGCGTCCTCTTGTGGGACGCTTGCACTGTACCCGAAGTCCGCAATGCATGCGGAGGTATACCTTAAAAAAACATGTCGTTGTCACATCAGGCATCAATTGCCTGGCATTGGGAGCGGAGCACCACAAGCAGAACACTTGTAGTGCATAAGGCATCGCTCTCGCGCGGGAAGTTTTCCAGCTGTTCTGCACTGTTCAACTTTCTGTGTACTGCAGCTGGCAGCTGTGGTTCTTCCCGAAAGTCCCCCATGGCTCAAAATTGACCTGACATCATAATCAGCATGGGAGGTTTGATCGGTATTGAATAGTGGCGTCAAGGTCTGAAAAGATCGGTCGTCGCCCAGCCACACTGCCCCTTGGCAGAATGAAGGTCTCAAGAAAGATCGTTTGCGATAGAGGCAGATGAGAGCTGGCCTGCTGGGTTGACTTCCCCAAGCCTCCACGCACGCCTGGATAGTGCGCCACTCCCGTGTCAGGGAGATGCAGATGCAGGCATTTCACGCAGTATGGAGCGACTCCCAACCTTGGATAAGGCAGCCGGATGAGTGCCCCGGGAGCCGGCAAATGCGGCACACGGCATGGCCTGCATAATGTCGCGGAGGAGTGACCTCATGTCAGCGGGCAGGTGCACTTGTCCCACCGTCTCAGCAATGCAGTCCAGTGAATATCTTTTCGAAGAGACATCTGAGTGCAAGAGCGTCTAAGCCACTGCTTCCACAGATATCGGCATGGTGGCTCCACGGATATCGGCATGGAGCCGGGTGGAGATGCTGTCTCTGAGGGTCACACCACAGGGGCCAAAGTAGGCATTGCGGCACAGCAACAAGACCTGGAAGTTCATCAGTCAGTTCAATCAGCATGAAATGATGCAAGGCAGGCGAACTGGGGCAGGGGGAAGCATAAGCATACGAGCCTGTGTTCACCAGCTGAGAGCTTGAACTTGCTGGGACAAGCCTCCTCGTTCCCTGCGCAGTCTAAGCTCGGTCGCGTCCATCACCAACTTCTCGGTAGATGTCGCTGGCGCGCCCGGAACTTCCTCAACTGCTCTGAAGTCGGGTCCCAGCGGAGAGTCTTCCACTCCCCGTTCTCGGCTACCCAGCCCATGTCCTTCGCCACATGCATAGTTTCTTCGCTTTGCGAGGTCGTGACACGACGGTTCCCCAGCTCGATTAGCAACGCCTTCATGAGCACAGTCCTCAGGGAGGAGCCGATCAAACGTGACTCCTTCTCTGTCTGGTGCCATTTCTCCGATGCCGCAAACAGAATCGGCATCAGGCCTTCGGCTCCCGGCTTCACGAAGAGGAACAGTGAGGTATCCCGCTTGATGCTGTTCAGGACATACTCGTGCCGAATGGCGAACTGAGACGGCTGTGGACTACTTGCTGCAATTCCATGTCTGACTGTCGTCCCCAGCCCTGGCTCCAACTCTGTTGGTGTCCCCACTCCTTGGGGCTCCAGTCTCCTGAAGAACGCCGCGAGGCCGGTCTCCCTTTTCCCCTTCCCTTTGCCCTTTCCCTTGGCCTTGCCTTTCCCCCTTTTGGTCTGGCCTTGTGATGACTCCGGCAAGACCTGCGCGACAATCAGCAGGACGTAGATAAACGCCTTCCTGGCCGACTATTCAGCTCCGGACTGCCCTCTTCTCGCCCCCCTCTTCGGATCCTGTCCCAGGAGTGTCGGGCAGCAACCCACCAAAAACGGCAAGCTCCTGAGGAGACATTTCCATGTCGAACGACATCAGCGCTATGGCCATGCTGCAGTCCTGGAAAACAACTGACCTGTATCACAAGTCCGTTCCGCCAGTGCGTGTGTGGGTTGACTGCTTTAAGTCCGCACTAGCGACATGGGAACACCATATTACGCTTGAAGGAGGTCAGATAGGGCATGAGCTTAAAGACATTCTGTACCCACTGATCATGTTGCAGCGTCATGTCACGATTGATGGCGGCGTAATCCATGCACCATTGTCTGCACAAGGGGCAATGGTGAGCGAGCTCGCCACGAACTTCAGAGCAAGCAAGTAAGGGAAGACAGCCAGACTTGGACAGGTGTAACTGGACGACGTCCTCAACGGCGGACCTTGGGTGCGGAGTCCACCTGTCGCTCGCACCAGGTGGCCAGCTGACTCGCGAGTTCGTTGACGACTTCGAGCAGCACTGGAAGGCGGGCAGAACCCGTGCCGAGCCTGAGGTAGCTAAGCCCGAGCGCTCGCCAAGCGGCTGTCCCCGGCCCGGCACTTCTGCAAGCGGAGCAACTACTAATGTGAAGAGGTGCTTGTGGCAGGTCGATGCGCAGCACGGCAGGACCTGCGGGCACTCTTGCCGCGGTTTCCAAGTTGACCCGGCCCAAAGGACTGAATTTTACCAATGCTCTCTGGCATCTTGCATGCAGCCGTGTCCAGAGTAGCTTGCGGCAGTCTTGCGCAGCTGGTGTGCTCCAGCTGCCCTCTCAGAGCACCACGCCGGCCGGCTCTCGTGTGAGGCACTCCTGCACCCTTCCCTGTGCAGCGGGCATGCGGACATTTCTAGGTCGACGCAATGCGTTCGTGAGCAGCGCCAGGCACACGGACCTTTTGTTCGGTCGCGGCCGTGTCAGTAGAGAACACGGCCCGCAGCCCCTCTTAGGGCGCGGCTCCGCTTTGTAGGTAGGCTGTACATAGCTTGAGGCGTAGCTTGTAGAGTATACGCGTCCGGGCAGGCGCCAACAGACCGCTCTTTCAAGAGCCTCGATGCGCTGTGGCACGAAAATGAAGGGCCCGTCGAGCACTGTGTTGCTGGGTCTATGTGGTTCTAGGAGGGTTGGTGCGTTCGTCGTCTGCGTTGCGCGGTACGCGAGCTTGGGCATCGCCCATGCCGCGAGAGCCGCACCGTACCTCCCCACTTCTAAACGGCCACATGGGAGCCTCGGCTGAGGGCGAAATCTCATGAGTGCATGTGCACCTCTGTCACGAGTGCATGCGCCTGTCTGCCAGGACCGTAGTGTTTCATGTGTGCATGCTTGTACATAATTCATATTTTGGCTCAAGCCTTGAGCTTGAGGTTGTATTTGCTTTCAAGGTTGTGCCAAGTGTGCACGGCTGCCTGTAGGCTGGTGTAGCTCTTTGAGTTGCAGGCCTGCGGCTGCACCGTAAGGACTGGGAGAGCTCAGACTCGCGAAGCCGTAAAGCAGCAGGACTGTCCGAGATTGCTTTTGCAAGTCCACTATAGCCGCCTTCGCAGACGACGACCGACCGCGACCGACCACATCCAACTACTTCGATGACGACTACTACGATTGCGACAACTACCAATTTCAACATTGAAAGCAACAGAAGGCATGGTCATGTATTAGCACTTGTGATGCGGAGTGGTTGAATTCCGTGCCCACAAACCCCCACCCCCATATTAATCGTGTCTGACCAGAGGAAAGAGGACGATAGAGGCTGAAACATCACAATAAATATCACAAACGCAGTCGACAAATGGTTTTCATAGAGTTGCCGTCTCACAAAACAAAACTGGAAGCACTGCAACTTGCCCTCTCCCGCATCGCCACATCAAATGCAATTGAGATGGATCGGGGGCGAAGCTATGTGGCCACCAGGCGACAGTCATGTGCAGGTTCTTGCCGGTCGCAACTGTGACGTCGCCATTCCTTGCTTGACCGCAACATCTCTTCATGTGACAGACCTGCCCACTGCTGAGAACTGCAGCAGGCACTCGGCCAGCTTGCAAGCAGACGGCGAGATCACTCCATGAGTAATTTACCGAGTGGCAAAGTGACGGCTCCTGTTCCTGATGTGATCGTCGTTTGCGTTGCACCCACGTCGGCCTAGATCAAGGCTTTCCTCTAAAGGTTCAGACCTCAAAGGCGCTCAAGCTGTGAAGCCCCCGAAGTCCACAGGCCCAAAAGCTTGACACCCTGAACCCGGAAAAAAAATATCACATCGCCTGCACGATGTTGCCGTTGACAGTGCAAGATGCAGCACCTTCTACTGTGATTGGGGTTGGATGTCCGGGAGAGTCTCAGGATTTTAGGGTCGACTCGCACTTGAGTTGCAGAATGATGTGCAGCTGCATGCTTGGGTGAAGTGCCGAGACTTCAGGCAAGTGCTAGATGTTGACCAGCACTGGCAACTTCTGACACGATGCATATGCCGTCTTATTCCAATGTGCTACCTTGCCTGCATCAGCCCCTTGTAAAACATGATCGTTGGCGAAAGAAAGCAGCGCTCCACAGACCAATCTTAGACATGCACGGAAAAGCCCTACCCAGCCAAATGTGCGAGATGAGCCAAACCGAAGGCACAATTAATTCATGATTTGTTTGAGGTGCAGGGCTCGCTGGGACAGATAGAGACACTAATAACAGTTGACAAGATGCCTGAACTGTCACCGATAACCACATTCCCGTACAGGGTCGTAGCACCACCTGCAGAGCATCAACAAGAAGAAGAGTATGATGGGTACTTCGCAGCAGAAGTATCATGAGAGAAAATCTTTTGCACGGGAGGCCTGACCCTGCAGAACCAACCGTGAAGGCGATCCTGGGATTTTGCATTCACAACGCCGGCTGACGGGCTCGGCACACCCTCCGGAACGCTCCCGAGCAATGAAAGCAATGCCGGTGCCATCCCTGGCCAACCTTGATGTTGATCGAAACCTGTGACTCTCCAACTGCCCACCTTCTCTTAATCGCTCACTCGTCCAAGTATCGACGGATCCACAGTCACAGCGCCCTTAAGCGTCACAGCACCGAGGCCGGATGTGAAGGTGCCACTGCCAGCAACCTCGGCCAATCTCCACCCTGCGGCCTTTAGCACTGCATCAAGCTCCCGGACTCAGGGTCAGGGGCTCCTGACGGATATGCCGTGGGATTGTGACAGGCGCGATGGAACCAGGAGGGCTTGCAAATTCTAGTTAACGATGCCACTCTAGAATCGTTTGGGGGAATATGTCGATTCTGCCAACCGGAAGCCAGAAAAGTCTCCGGAAGCTTTCAAAGCCAGCGGAACTTGTTGCGGTGAAGTTGCAGTGGTATCCCCATTGAGCGTTACCACACCGGTGCCTGTGGTGAACTGGCCGGCTCCTGTCGCAGTCATCACCAGGTTCCTTGTTTTTTGCTGGCATAACTGGACTCAAATACTTGAAGATCTTCGTCTGCCACTGCAGCTCAAGCTCTTCCCGGAAGCCACCGTAACATGGCCATTGAGGCTGATGGAGTTAGTGCCGGTGGCAAAGCTCGACGTCGTGCCTCCAACACTCATACTCTCAGTCTCGGGTTTGGAGTTTAGGGTTCAGGGCTGAGGTTCCACCCCGAGGAAACATTGCAATCTAGCTTGAATCTAGCAATAGCATCGTCATTGTCATCACGATAACCAACACGATCGACAATGTTGTCGTCATCTTCAAGCAAACTATCCATCTACTGACATGCATTGCTCAAACCCTAAACCTTAAAACCTGCAGCCATGAACCCAAAGCCCAAAGCCTGTGGGATGGTATTTAGCCGAACCGGCCCAGCAGCTATCCGCGTATGAGCAGCTTAGCATGTCGGTACTATGTCGAGAAAGGGTGCATAGGGGTTTTGCAAGTATTTGTTCGACACGCATTCTATAATGTTACAATGTTAACTATGTGGGATGTGTATCGGTTCGGCGCCATAACTGAAGCAAGGCAGAAAAAGACCTGTAACGTCGGCTTGTGTGAAGTCGCCATTCAGCGTAAGGGATCGTCCGTTTCCAGTTCCTTAGAACGCATCGTGTAGGTTTGGCTTCAAGATGTAGGCCAAGCGGTTTGGGGCGATCATCAAGACCTCCCCCAACATTCCTTGGCTTCCAGCCGGTCTCGCCAATGACGACATTGCCGTAGATCGTAACGGCCCCTCCGGCCCCTGCAGATCCCACTGTGATCGACTTCCTGGAGCCACAGAGCACCAGGACCATCAAGGATATTAGTATAATACTACATTAAATATATTATTCATATTATATTATCCAACAAAAAAACGCTTCCGTAAAGATGCCTTACGAGTATCGAGTCTGCAACAGTCACGGCGCCCTGAATGTCCACGGTACCCCCTCCCGTGGTGAAGGTGCTGAGGCCGCTAATCACGGTGTTGCCACCAAGGGTCACCCTGAGCATGGATCTGTCAGCTGCTGGTGGAGCTTTAACCAACACAATTGAATTTGCAACTTAGCACTAGTACCGATTGGCCCGCGATTACTCGCAACCATAGAAATCATCGGCAACAGTCTCACCTGCATGCTGAGGGCTAGAAGGCCGACGTCCCCAAGTGCTGCTAACAAACGGCCTCCGCTCGCAACACATGTTCTACGTCCAGTTCGAAGCAGCTAAGTCCAGCACGTACCGGTGGATGTGTCGAAATTTCCTGCACTGCGCCGTTCGTGCACACTCTTCGAACAAATTCGCTATTGCCACCTCGACGCTGCCTGACTATGATGACGATGATGATGATGATGACCATGATCACGGTGGTGGTGGTGGTGGGTGGGTGG